TGACGTAACCAGGATTTTTAGCCTGCTGGGCCGTATTCCAAGGAGTCATACAAAAGCGGTAGGTCTAGGTGTCTTGAGCGTTCCTATTTGAGTAGGAAATCGTTCCGACTGTTGCCAGTTCTGAAACAGTCATTATCCGTGCTGCTCGTTACCGCGCCAACTTAGGATTTTTCAACGTCATTTCTAGATGAAAAAATTGTAAAATATTGATCATTCGGACTGGCGGAAAAAACAGTGAAATTTTCATGTTTGATCACCTTTCGACATTCCCAAAACGTTTCTTCCTTATTTTCCATCGAAAACTGAGTCTGGAAAGCTAATTATGGGAATTTTAGAAACTAAAATGGACTCAGAATCTACGAAACAAGAGCAGAATAGTAAAGGGGCTGCCGGTCAATTTAAAGAACCTATCTAGTCCTATGATTTTGGAGATAAAATTCTTTCTTTTATTTCATTTTGATCTCGATACTTGTTGAAAAAGTTAAATATCCGTTTTGGAAAATTTTGTTTTGCTACAGAGAAATTCAATTTTTTGTCGAAATCAGTGAAAAAACAATGAAATTGGGCTCGTACTTTATCCCCTGCATCAAAGTTCAACTTTTCGACACAAAAGAGGCCATTTTTAGAATCGACGTTACAAACGGCATTGAAAAATGTGTGTTTCGGTATTTTTGGGTTAGTGCGTATTTTTTCGATCTTCTCAAAAATTGAAAAGTCAGGATTTTTGCTCAAAATCTAAGATTCCAGAAAATGTCCGAAATACATTTTTCAACGCAGTTTGTAACGTCGATTCCGAAAACGGCCTCTTTTGTGTCGAAAAGTTGAACTTTAATAGAGGAGATAAAATACGAGCCCAATTTCATTGTTTTTTCACTGATTTCGACAAAAAATTGAATTTCTCTGCAGCAAAACAAAATTTTCCAAAACGGATATTTAACTTTTTCAACAAGTATCGAGATCAAAATGAAATAAAAGAAAGAATTTTATCTCCAAAATCGTAGGACTAGATAGGTTCGTTAAATTAACCGGCAGCTCCTTTACCATTCTGCTCTTGTTTCGCAGATTCTGACCAGGGAAGGTATCCAAGCGTAACGTGGGTTTTCGAACGGGATATATTCTACGTCGTAGAGTGTGATGTGCTGACTACGGTAATAACTTTCTTTTTTCCCAACAGCGCTTTTGTAGCAGAGTTATAACATTTTCTATTTACGACGCTACACCTCTGAAAAATATATTTTATCTTGGACACAATTAGACGTTTGGGCTCAATAATTTTATATTCTGATTTGACATAGGCAAAGTCTATTATTATGCACAAATATCAGTCTTTATTAACACGAGTAGATTTTTAATTAGCAACAAGCGTTTCACACACCATCATCAGGAAATGAACATAGGAAAAAAGATAACTGATTTATATAGTCTGTAAATGTGAGTATTAGACAAAGACATGAGAAAAAGAAACAATTTATGATTAGACAATAGAGAAAGGAACATATGAAGGATTATATGTTCATAGAACATAAATCATGGCCGATTCTCTTTTTATTTTTTTAGGACATGAAGCCGAATATTTTTAGTTTTTTAGTTTATGGTCATTTATCGACTTTCCATAGCTATTATGTGTAAATAAAATCTCTTTAATTATGAAATAGTAAAGACTGATATTTGTGCATAATAATAGACTTCCGCCTATGCCAAATCAGAATATAAAATTATGTTTGTATGTATACATCAGATGTATACTTTAGTTTGTCTAGTACTTCTTCGCGTAACTGTATATCAACCCAAACGTCTAATTGTGTCCGAGATAAAATATATTTTTCAGAGGTATATCGTTGTAGCGTCGTAAATAGAAAATGTTATAACTCTGCTACAAAAACGCTGTCGGGAAAAAAGAAAGTTATTACCGTAGTCAGCACATCACACTCTACGACGTAGAATATATCCTGTTCGGAAACCCACGTTACGCTCGGATACCTTCCTTCGTGAGTCCCTTTTAGCTTCTAAAATTCCCATAATTAGCTTTCTAGTCTCAGTTTTCGATGGAAAATAAGGAAAAAATGGTTTGCGGAATGTCAAAAGGTGATCAAATATGAAAATTTTGCTTTTCTTTGAAAATTTCACTGGTTTCAGCTAAAAAAGGACCCCTCTCTAGATATTTAAATAGCTACAGTTTGCAATTTCAAAATTTTCTGAAGCATTTAGATATTTGTATTTCTGCAGGACTCACTGTGCTGTCAGGAACTTAATCCTTCGTTGGTGATTCAAGGATGAGTTTCCGTACAGCTATTTATTCAGATTGGAAATGTTAAACACATGAAATGATACGTCAATGCGTTTCTCCATGATGCTATTTGACTTCCAGTACTCTACCCGAATGGGACACTATTCACCAGTGAATAGTTGTTCTTTCCGGCATAAATTTCTGTTTTCTTGTTTGTAATGGCACAGCCAGAAAAAACTAGTACAGATACTACCACACAACGACCACAAGATGATCGAAAAAGATTGAGACACAAGCTCTTTGAACATGATAATTTAAAAATTAGAGAGCAAGATCGAGAAAGGGAAGCCACCTATACAGTTCATCTGAAAGCACTACGGGAATGAGCTCAACTGTCGATAAGAACAGGGAATTGACAAGGATAAAAGACTGAGTCAGAACCTCACTTTCGATGCCCCTAGCACAATTGGTTTTCTAAAGACCTCTCAGAAAACCAGTCAAAACGTTTTCTACTGTGATTGCGCTAAACTACTTCTTTTCATAAAACAAATCGGTCAAACTATGCTCTTACGTTGGAAAAAGGCAAAACAGTGCGTGAAAGTCTTTCAAAGACCTCGGATCCCTGAAAACTATAGATGGAGACATCGTTAGTCTTTTTCTGTTCGTATCATCAAAGGAGCGTTCTTTGAAGCCTACAGATTGTTGTTCTTGCTGGTCTGTTCTGCTTTTTTGGAGAAATATAGCTCGAACAATCTTCTTTGAAGGTTGTTCGGCGCTCCTGCCGTTGACTTTTGTTTCGGGACACTTTTTGAAACGATACCAAAATCACTTCTATCTTTTAACGATCAAAAGACAAAACATTTTTAACTTTGGTCAATATTTCACGCACCATAAGTATTCGTCACATAACTTTCGCATTCATTTTGTAGCTTATATTTCTTGACATGATGGAGGCTTCTGAAATATTTGATTCAAAGGGAATCAAACTACACGATGTAATAGAGAACTTGTTATCCTTCCTGTCTTTGGCTTTCAAAGACATTTTGTTCTCCGCTTCTCACCCAAAATCACCTTTTTCTGAACAGGTTTTATTCTAATACGTCTAGAAAATCCACTTTTCGTCCTCTAAACCCTTCGCATGTTTTTTATGAACACGTTTCAGCGATGTAGTTTTTCACCGACAACCCTTTGTTTTTAAAATTGAATTTCATCTGCAAAATTGCGAGAAAATATTTTTCTTGATGATGTCCTGGCTTTTAGTATAAATCAGTTCTCTAATAAAAGTTTTTCTGTCGTGTAGCCCTTGAATTCCCTTATCGAACCGTGTATTTTAAAAGTCTTTATGTCAGGGAATATTGATTACAAGATGAGGTTATTTGACGAATACGAATGGTGCATGAAAAATTGATCAAAGTTAAAATGTATTTTGTTTGGATAAAAAAAAATATTTTGGGAGTTGATATTAACCGGAAATTCAGACCTAGAGCTATTAAGTGGTAAAAAGATAATTTTCTAGCTTTCTTTCTTTCCATAAAAAAGTGCGCTTGAAGTTTCTCTTCTGCACCGGACGAATACTTTTGGTAGACACTGTATGTGTTAAAGCGACCGTGCTCTCTTTTTCCTGCTTAACATGATGTGGACGAAGAAAAAGTGTATTCTTGTTCTCTTTATATGTTCTAGTGCGTATTAGAATTAAGTTTACTAATCTGTCAATGAAATACCTAACATAGATATGAGATGTTGTTCGATGACTCACTCCATCTACTACTGTGCTCCCACTTATGTGTTTTCAGTTCTTAAAATGTGAAGTAGGGAGGTTTGACAGAAATGTGTCACAATAGTTTTCGGACATTCACTCAACCCTCTCTTACTTTTTTGAAAGTGTAAAACGTGAATAGTTCAGTATTCAGGTATTTAGATTTTGCATTCTGCATGTTAAACAGTAAAAGACTACAGTTTTTACTTACAAAACGCAAAATAATTTTTTAAAGATGTAAAATGCCAAAGCAAACGCAAATGCAAGTTGCTATTTCCTAAAAGGAAACTGCTAGAAATGCAGCTTCGTCAGTATGTGATAATACGATATTGTAACGGGTATAAACAAGATTTTCAGATTTTCATTCTTGGAGAACTTATTTGGAGACTCTAGAAAATTTTTCAAATATACGCCAAGCTATTCGACTGATGATGTATCGTATTATTTGAACTTTCCATCGGGTTTTGGAATGCAAGATCATTTGGCGTTAACCATCTGATGTGTAAATTCTAATATGTCTTGTGTCTTTAGAATCCAATTCTGGGAAAATCCGTGGAATTTAGAAAGTCGACACTACGGGGCCGCTTACTTTATTCTAGTATTTTTCTTGTTTCTCCAAACTGAAAAAGAACGTACTTTGAAAAATTCTGAGCATTCTGCATTTCTTTCTCTATCGGAAAAGGATTTATTAGCCATTTTTAAAAATACTAAAGGTTTTTTAGCGATAACATACGCTCTCTGAGAAAACGGTTTCTTAAAACTTATAAAAAATGCGACAAAAAGATGTTTTTACTGAAAATCATTTACGACAATACTTTCCTCTGAGCCCTCGCGATTTCTCACCTATCGACTGAATACTTTGTCAAAACGGAAGAGGGTATTTCATTCCTACTTCTGAAGCAATATAATCGATGGCGAAAAAAGACTTTTGATCAAACGAAAAAAGGGTTCAGGACGACGCTTTTCAAACGTTTAGACACTTACAACGTAAACAGTAACTATTTTCATTTTTCTTTTCTAGTGAACAGTTTTAATACTTGCTGTTGTCTGCTTACTCGGAATGTTTGGCTGACTGACTAATCGTCTTCGTGATAGATTCAGGATTAATGGCATCAATAACTTTAAGATCGTGGTGAGTCCACCATAAACTTTTATAAGCGTTGTTACGACCTGTAGAATATTGAATCGTTCTAAATATGAATAAGTGCATTGAGACGGTGAACATTGTTGAAAATAATTTTGATAAGACAAATTTTCATGCCATTGTTCGACAAATAGATTTTCTGCAAGTACTTCTACCGTCGTATTGAACTGATAGCTCTGACTTGTTGCTGATGATTTCAGAGCAGTAAAGTTTTCCAGTATAAGCGGCTTTATATACGATTGTATTTCTTCTAGAAATGTCTGATTATAAAAGCTTTCGAGTGTTGAAATAAGTAATGAACTCAAAGATAAACAACCGGCATAAAAGCCAGGAATCAAAAGAGTTGCTGGTTGGCCTTTATAATAATATCCATAGCTTTCCTGTTCGAACCAGTCATAAATGCCCGATTGCACTTGACACTGGTCGTCGACGATTGAACACCAACACCATGTACCGTCTGGATGCTGAAAACCAACAGCGTTTAGTCCTACGTTTAATCGATAGAATAATGCAACAACATTTGTTTCCATCGCTGACATTAATAGATTTTCTGTCATCGTTTGCTGGATCACTTGTAATATCCGTGTGAATGCTGACAGTGTTGTAACCTTAAATAGATCGCATAATGCTCGTGTTTCCAACTGAAACACCTCCACTGTTAATAGTTCTGAATTTACAAAAGCCGTTGTCTTAAACAATGTCAGAGCATTACTGACAGTCTCATTTGCAATTCGGCAGAGTGTTGAAAGTATCTGAAATTGACCACTTGCTGTTGCTCGAAGATCTCCCGGAAAATAATGACTAGCATTTTCATTAAATAAATAATCGATCCATTTTTGTGATACAAAGTCACTAGAACAGACCTGATGATACGAAGGCTGCAAAGAAACAAATTCTTGATATTTGATTGTAATTTCTGAACATGGACATCGAAGAGTCGTTGGATATCTCTGAAATAAATTTTCGTATGTCAAGAAACTGGCCGAGTCTACTTGAACTATTCTTGTTTGTTCCAGGAGTAATTGGAATAGAATTAATATGATTATAACTGTTGTTAACGCGATAATGTAAAGCCATGTCGCTATTCGTTGATTCTTCAGATCGTGTGGATCAGTTGACTGGTTCTTATACAGATTTAATTCGATTAGATAAGCTTTTATTCCCTCGAATACTGATCGAAAACACGTAACAACTGGCATCACTTGATCAGAAGCAGCAAAGTGACTTTTCACTTAATCATTTCTTTTATGAAATGACTGATGTTCAGAATGAGAAGACAAACGAATGTATGAGCAAACTTTCCTTGTATTAATGGAGCAACAAATTGTAGTTTAAAAACTGAAATTGGTTTTCAAGCGATTTTTCAGATGCAACTGGGAATCAAAGCAGCATGAAGAAGCTGGAAATTTTTTCTATCCATTATGAAACGAGCCTAAACAAAATACAAGTGAATAAAACATAAACAAGACAACACCCTTGTGTCTTTCATCATTGCAGATTACATACTTGATTGATGTAGAATGTTATGTCGAAAATTTGAGCGATGTTTATTGCCGCAAAACGTTAAAATTATGATTCGCTGTTTTTATGTATGCACCGATTTCAAATAATTGAACTTCGATTATAAATTTTTGACTAAGGTTCAATGATCTACAGAACAAGGAAATTTCTAACTTCAGCCCACCTGATTGTTCCTAGACATGTACAGCGACTCTTAGGTGTTGGAAAGTCTTGATTCCGTAAAAAGTGAAAGTTATGTCGCTTTACTATTACCGTCCAAATCACTTACCACTGTGTCAGTTGTAGCAGTACTCATTATACACCGTATATAACACACCAAGCAGACTCTAAATTAGTATGCTTTACATCACTTTGTAGAGAATTAAACTCTCTACAAGTTACAAGATAGGTTTATTAAATTCTTAGCGAAACAACAAGTAGTAGTTCACAACGTCGTTCTGTCCAAAAAATGAATATTTTTTAATTAAAAAATCCATCAACGTTTTCTACATCAAATTTTAATTTCTAAAAGTTAAAATGTATTGCGCTCTTTTCACTGATATATAATTCAAAGCTTTGACATGTAGACCAGACGGGAAAATAATTAAATTAGTCGAAGACTCGCATTTTTAGAAAAGCTTTTAACTCACTTTCCAAGTGCTTTTTCTCAAGCATTTTTCTAACCATACAACAGATAATCGAATCATTTAGAGCAATTAAAGTTACCCATTTTTTAGATCTTGAGACTAAAAAGGAACTGCGATACAAAAAGAACGATTTCCGTCTGTGCCATTACAAACAAGAAAACAGAAATTTATCTGGGAAAGAACAATAGTACCTCATATAAAAACAAGCTTATACCTCTACTGCAGGTCTTCTATAACTGTTCCAGAAAAACGCTCTCAAAAACGGATTGAGTTTCTAGCGTCCTGGAAGTTCTGGAAATGGAGCTGATTTGTAAAAAAACTGAGTCTGTTATTCAATTCCTCATGTCAAAAAATGGCTTATAATTAATTTCACTCATAATTAATGGTTTTATGAGTACCTGTAGGAGGGTGAGACAAGATAGTGGGTAGGATATAACAGTAAGTCATCTATTACGAAAAAATGAAAGCAGATAGAAACCTGCAGCTTTCATCAACTGATTTTAGCCACGTTTCTCTATTTATTCATCTGCAAGGATAAAAATCATGCCACTCACACGCTGCGAAGAGTGAGTGGGATAGAGTTTTTTGAACTTTTGAGGATTGTAAATTCTAAGTCAACTTTTGTGAAAATGGAACGAGTTTAAGCAGAAGTGAGATTATAGACGGACAGAGAGGATAAATGGTAAGAGAAATCAGAAAAAGTTCGTATTTTGCTTGTTCCTAGAGGAAGAAAAAGTGAATCAAGTAAGAGGGAAACATGTGAATACGACAGTGCGAACAAACAGCTAATTTTGCTCACTGCAAGCGGAACGGTTCAAGATTTTAGCAGCATAAATGAAGTGATCACTTCTGAATAAAACGGTAATAAATCCAAAGAGTTTTGTTCGTCGTTCATGACTTTAGCTTGTACGGCATGGCTGGATAGAGCTCATCGACCTACCAATGAAAAGGCAATTTAAGAATTTTCAACATCATTTTTGGAAGAAAAAAAAACTGCAGGAAAAAACAAAGGAATTTTCAAAAAACAGCAAAATTTTCATGTTTGATTACCTTTTGAAATTTCAAAAGTTATTTCATTTTTTCTTTATTTTCCATCGAAAACTGAGCCTGGAAAGCTAATTATAGGAAATAATTAGCAGGAAATAATTAGCTTCCCGAACTCAGTTTTCGATGGAAAATACGGGAAAAATTGTCTTGTCGAGCGAAAATACTAAAAATTCATTTTTTAATTCGATAGAAACATTCGCGAGTTCTCCAGGAAGTATCCAAAGGGTTTTCCAGAAAAAACGATTTTCTTAAAAGCGTTTTTCTCAAAAGTGCCTGAGGTGATAGAGTATTTAATTTTGAGCAAAATAAGACACTTTGCAGATTTTTGGGACTTTCTTTCATCGAAATATTTCCTCTTCAAGATTCCAGGGCTCTCACATTTCAGTGGCATAGTTTGTCAATGAAGTAGTTATTAATTCCACCAACTTTAAAAATGTACTTAAACACTTAGCATTACGACTAAACTGCGATTAGTAGAATGTTATTTTCTTACTCACTCTTAGTTACTCTCACTCTCAAAAAATCTGTTAATAATAACTTATAAATGTAAATAAATTTCTCACTTTATTAATCGGTTTGCAAGAGGAGAGATTTAAAACTGCATTCCTTATGAATTTGAATTATTTATACCAATCGTTGTTCGACTCATTTTGCGTACTTATGAGCCATTGCACGTAAGCCACGACCTATTACAGCGGAGTGGCCTTCAATCGATGTTCTCGAAACTTTTCCAAAGTAGGGGGCTTTTGTAGACCAAACATTTTAAGGAATTTTGGTAAAAGGCGCAAA